TCCTTGTACGTCTCCTCCATGTGTCTCTTATAAGGACACTTGTCATTCATTGGGTTTAGGACCCACCCAGATAACCGGGCATTCTCATCAATAGGTCTGGAGATCACGGTGTAGACATCAGTCTGCCGGCATTGGAAAGGGCCAGTGGACAAGGGCGAGGGTGGCAAGGGGATTCCAACAGACTTTCCAGGCCTTACAGTTCTTGCATTGGTCAGAGCTTGGACGCGTGCCCCGGGAGAATGAGACAGGCCCCCTGACTCCAGCACTCAGCAGCCGGGACCCACTTGAGGAAAAAAAGCCCAGGTATGAGACTGTCTGATCAAAATCCTTCCTCCCAGAAAGGGCAAGCTTAGCCTACACCCTCTTCCACCCTCTCCCCTCCCCCTCCCACAGCCTCCCAAGACCTTGTTAAACCACAGCGGTTTTTAGGGGTGTCTGGGTGGTTCAGTCTGTCCTTCAGCTTAGGTCATGATCGGGGTCCTGGGATGGAACCCCACTTTGGGAGTGGGGGGAGTCCCTGCTCAGCAGGGAGTCTGCTTCTCCCTCTCTCTCTGTCCCTCCCTCCCACTCATTCTTTCTCTCTCTCAAATAAATAAATAAAATCTTTTTTAAAAATCAAACAAAAAAACCCATAGCGGTTTATGGAACAACAATTCAAGTGGACAGAGGAAGGAAGAAAAGCCCTTCCTTATGTAAACTGAGGCAGGATGCCAGAGAACACAGCCACATTATTTTCAATCGAGTGAGTATAACATCAGTATCAAAACCTGCAAGGAAGGAAGGGAAGAGGAAGGGAGGGCGTGGGGCAGAAAAATCACAGTCCAGCGTCGCATGTGAAGATTCGTGAAAAGCTCTAAGGAAGGGGCTCCTGGGTGGCTCAGTGGGTTAAGCCTCTGCCTTCAGCTCAGGTCATGATCTCAGGGTCCTGGGATCGAGCCCCACATTGGGCTCCCTGCTCAGCAGGGAGCCTGCTTCCCCCTCTCTCTCTGCCTGCCTCTCTGCCTACTTGTGATCTCTGTCAAATAAATAAATAAAATCTTAAAAAAAAAAACTCTAAAGAAAACATTAACAAGCAGAATCCAGCGGCGCATTAAAGGAATAGCACAACTTGTCTCAGCATGTTCCCTCCTGGAATGAAAGGGTAGTTCGGCGTATTTTGGAAAATTCATTAATATAATTCAGGGAAGTCCATGAAGGTAATTCATCATATTCTTGAGTTTAATAAGAAGAGTCATACCATGAACTTCATAGGCGCTGCAAAGGCATGTGGTAGACTCAACAACCATTTTTTAAAAGATTTTATTTATTTGTTTAAGTTTTACTAATTTTTTTTAAATATTTTATTTATTTATTTGACAGACAGAGATCACAAGTAGGCAGAGAGGCAGGCAGAGAAAGAGAGGGGGAAGCAGGCTCCCTGCTGAGCAGAGAGCCCGATGCGGGGCTCAATCCCAGGACTCTGGGATCATGATCTGAGCCGAAGGCAGAGGCTTAGCCCTCGGAGCCACCCAGGTGCCCCTAAATTTTACTAATTTAAGTAATCTCTCCACCTAATGAGGGACTGGAACTCGTAACTGCTGGGATCAAGAGTCACACGCTCTACCGATAGAGCCAGCCAGGTGCCTCCTGGTCTGTCTTTTTCAATCAAGAATGGTTGTTGAGGGGCACCTGGTTGGCTCCATCAGTGGAGCCTGTGACTCTTGATCTCAGGGTTGTGAGTTCAAGCCCTGCACTGGGCGGAGAGATTACTTAAAATCTTTCTTAAAATTTTTATTTATTTATTTGGGGGAGGGTTTAGAGGGAGAGAGAGAGAGAGAGTCTTAAGCAGACTCCACATTGAGCGTGAGTCTGACATGGGGCTTGATCTCACAACCCTAAGATCATGACCCCAGCCCAAACCCAGAGTCAGCTGCTTAACTGACTGTACCACCCAGGAGCCCCATAAATAAAATCTTTTAAAAAGAAAACCATAGAAGAATTCCTTTATCACCATGAAATGGAGAGGCCGTTTTAATAAAGTCAAATAAGAAAAGATTGAAAATTTGATGGCAAAAAAGAAATTTTACCAAAAAAAAAAAAAAATCAATAATGGTAGCACAGTAACAAAATCGAAAAACAGACTGGAAAAAATACTGGCAACTTTCACCACAGGCCAAGAGCCAACCTTCCTGCTACCTAAGGGCTTATAGAAATTGGTATGGAAACCACAAACTGCAATCAAAAAGTTGTAACAGATGTGAAGAAGCGGTTCATAGAAAAAAGAAATGCAAATACATCTTAAAATATATTGAAAGTTGCTCAACCTCACTCATAAAAAAAAAAGGGCAAAAGTCAGACTAATTAACGAGACACTCTGGAACTTGGCGGCTATGATCTGAGGCTGCCTGCGTCTCTCCCCTGTTCCCCTGGGCGCTCTCCACCTGGGAACCCTTGGGCCCCCAGGATGCCCAGACCAGGATGCCCCAGGGCCTGGGAATTCTGCAGTCCCGGGTATGACCAGCAGGTGGCGGTACAGCTGCACCAAGCCCTGCCCCCAAGCAGCCCCAGAAAAACCGAAAACCCAAATTAAAAAATTCCTTGGCCTGAGAGCCCACAGTCAGTTGGAGATTCCGGGAGCCTTCTGGCAAATCTGGGAGGTTTGACCTTCTGCTGTAAGCAAAGCCTAGGGGCGTCCATGACAAGCAAAGGGCAGGGGAGAAGAGAACATTTTTTACGCATATGGAAGAAGGAGATAGAGACAAGAATTCCAATTTTCCAAGTGAGGCCAGGGTGGGTCCCAGCCACCAGAATCACCTGGGGGCTTATTTTTAAATGCAAATTATGGGGACTTCCTTTGTGGCAGGACCTGGGAAATGGCATTTAGAATGCCAGCTCTCCTGCGGTTTCTGACCCCTGCTCAGGTTTGAGCCGGGCCACCACCAACATGACAACACCTCCTGGCATGGGCCAGAAATCAGGGGCCGGAGATGGGAGGCCTCAAAGTCGCTGCCCACCCCCCCACCCCGGGGCCAGGCCTTCCCTTGTGAAGATGCTATTTGCACAAACATGGCATAAAGCCCAGTTCTTTCCATGTGAGATTCAGCCTTCGGGCTTCTGGACTAAGGCTGTGCCCAATCGGCCCCTCGCTCATGGCCTCCTGCTCTAATTTGGGTTGGTTCTCTCTCCACCTCTCTCTACTCGCTATTTTAAAATTCATAAGGAGAGGCGCGCGCGGGTGGCTCAGTGGGTTAAGCGTCTGCCTTCGGCTTGAGTCATGATCTCAGGGTCCTGGGATCGAGTCCCATGTTGGGCTCCCCACCCAGCAGGGAGCCTGCTTCTTTCTCTCTCTCATAAACAAATAAATAGAAATCAATAAAATAATATAACCTTAAAAATAAAGAAAATCTTAAATAAAATAAAACCATAAACAAATTTAGTAAATAAATAAAATCTTAAAAAATAAAATGAAATTCCTAATGAATTCTTGCCACAGAGCCAGCTTTGAAATCCAGGCCCAGACCCCACCCCCCACTCCTCGGCCCCCTGGCTGGTGTCACAGTGACCCGATTCTCCAAGCCTCTGGGAAGTTCAGGGTCCAGATGCCTACCCGCACCTCACCGACACTTCTAGCACTCGTCAGACTTCTATCCAGAACTGACTCAGCCCATTCTTCTCCTAGCCTGGGAGATGACTTCCGGCTCCCTGGCTGGCCCTAAGTCTGATGGCAATCCTGAACTCCAGCCTTTGCTGGGATCTGGTCCATGATGGACCAGAGGCCACATGGCAGCCTGTCCAGGGGCCTCAGAGAGAGAGCTCTGGCTTTGGTGTCTTGTTCTAATCCCCACGCTGCTATGTTACCTGGGGCGAGCTGCCTGCCTTCTCTGAGCCTCAGTTTCCGTGTCTGGAGGAATTCGCACCAAGGGCTCAAGGGCTGCTATGAGGAGAGAAGGAGAGGGTCCGGACTGCACGGGCAGCACAGAGCCGGACACACAGCAAGCCCCCAGTGCCAGGAGCAGCTGCTACTAAGAGGCTCAGTCTAGGTGGGGTACTGGGGACGGGGCTGCCTTCACCCCTCCTCAAGCCAGGCTAGGCTAGAGTTAGATCCTGGGTCAGGGAGATATGGCTTCACTCAGTTTCCTGGTCTGCACACCTGCTCAGCTCCAGGCCCAAGAGGGGCTTCGGATGGATGTCAGGGGACCGCAGCTCTGCTTTCCACCTGGGGGAGCTTCCAGTCTAATAATCGCAACCTGGAACCTGGAAATAGAAGCTTCCCAAAATAGTGAGTCTGCAAGCTGGTCTCCCGGGCTGCCTGGCCGGAGGCGCGAAGTAAGGAGGGAATGAGCCCAGGCCTGGGTCCTCCTGGTGCTGGGAGCCCACCTGCTTCCCTGCGGCCTGCGGGGGTGGGGGCAGCTACAGAGGACCCTGCCCAGTCCCTCACCTCTGTGCTGTAGCCAAATGGCCTGAATCTTCGTCCAGCGCGGCTGAAACTCAGGCCAACTGTTTCCTGATTTAAAGAGCCACACGAAGAGGGACCTGAAAGTTTCATTTACGAATGTGAGCAGGCCCCCAGCAGAGAGCTGCCAAAGGCTCCCTCAGTAGCTGGACCTGACTTTCCTGCCCGGGAGCTCACGGTGAGATTGCACTTTAACCAAGGTCACTGCCGGGTGCCACTTCCTCCACGACTGGAGCTCAGTAACATCACGGCTCAGTGCATCCTTTTTTTTCTTTTTTCTTTTTTTTCTTTTTCCACACCTGCTTGATCTTTTACTCTTGGTGCTGGTGAACCAGAGCGCCTCGGAGGCCCCAGGCAGCCTGGGGACGGTGAGCTTTGTCCCTGATGTCCACTCTCCAGAGGGGTGGGGCACCCAAGCGTCATTCCCTGAAACAGGGTAAGGGGGAGTTTCTTCAAAGCATCTGGGGCATCTCAGAACTGACTCGAATGACTGGTTGCCAGCCGGCTCTCCCAACCAGCTGCAAGCTAGCAAATGCAGAAGGCCTGATGGACCTGGGTTCCAGCAGCTGCTAGTGGTTCGGATACTCTCGGGCTCCCTGACCTCTGGGAGAGCTGCCCTGGCCGCCTGCGGTTCTGCCCATGGCCTTCGCCGAGCTCCTGGAGCGAGCAGGGGGAGTGGGCCTCTTCCAGGCCCTGCAAGTTCTCACTCTCCTCCTTCCCTCCATCTTGTTGCCGTCGCAAACGCTCATAGAGAACTTCCTGGCCGCTGTCCCAGGCCACCGCTGCTGGGTCCGCATGCTGGACAATAGCTCCAAGGCCCCCGCAAACCTCAGCTCTAAGGACCTCCTGACCGTCTCCATCCCACCAGGCCTCAACCTCGAGCCACACCAGTGTCGCCGCTTCCACCAACCACAGTGGCAGCTCCTGGACCCCAACGCCACGGCCACCAACTGGAGCGAGGCTGCCACGGAGCCGTGCATGGATGGCTGGGTCTACGACCACAGCACCTTCACCTCTACCATCGTGTCGGAAGTAAGGGCCTCCCCCCTGCCAACCCCACGGCTCTCTGACCCAGCCTCCCAGGGACGACCGCCCACCCATGCCTGGAAGGATCATACTTTTCCTGCCAGCGGTACTGAATTAGGTGCGACTTGCATCTAATGCGAATTGCTCAACACATGCTGGCCTGGATCCTGATCTGAGGCCCGAGTTCCAGGATGAGCAGGAAGACTTTGAGGAATTTTAGAATTGGTCACCATTTAACCCTGCAGGAAAGGGACAGTGACAGGCACTGTTCTAGAGGCTTCCCCCCTAGTCTCACTCCGAGCTCACGAGCAGGGGGCCTTATCTGCGTCTGGGAAGGAACAAAGAGAAGCAGAGTGAGGGAGATAAGTTGGCCAGGACACACAGCTCACACACTCCAGGAGCCGCCTCAGCCCAGACAGACCATCAGGGGCCGGAAGCTGGGTCTCCATCACGGCCTGTCCTGCGGCTACGCAGGAGGAAAGCAGGTCCTGGGAGCAGGGCTGAGAGGCAGGTGGGGAAGACCTCTCTGGAGGGGAGACTTGGATGAGGAGACAAGGAAGGTGCAGAGAGAGCCCAGTGGGGACAAAAGTCCAGGTCTGGGGTGCAGAAGGAGGTCCATTGTGTCTGGGCACAAGGAGTTAGGGGCCAGGCCACAATGCAAGGATCTGCTTGGCATTTTCCAGTGATCACTTTGCCCCGTGGGGACAGGGGGCTCCTGCTTCAGTGGCCCCGGCGAAAGAACAGAGCAAAGCCGTCAGGTCTTGGTGGAGGACTGCGTAGTGGGGGGTGTTCGGGCCATGGATGCCCGGACCCGGGCAGGAGCACTCAGAAATTATAGTCGCACGTACTCAGCCCTCTCTGCTCATCCCAGCGGCCCTGCAAGGGAAGCAGCTGCACAGCCCCCCTTATGCATGAGAAACCGGGCTCAGCAGGTGCAGAAAACCCCGGGCTCCCCCAGCCAGCCACAGGGTTAGAACCGCAGCCTATGGTTCAGCTACCACGCTCCACTGCCCACCCCCACGAACCCAAAGTGGCCGAATCACGTGCGTGCCATGCAGCTGGCTGGGAGGACAGAGTGGAGCCCCCCCCCCCCCACCCCAGCATACCCAGTTCCATCTCTATCGCCTGGCCCGAGGGACACCACCCCCAGGACCCAGGCTGACCAGGTGCTCCTGGTTGGGAACTCCCAACCTGGGTCTCCCTCTGCCACCCAGGCCCCACTGTTCTGTGTCCCCTGAGCCCAGCTGCTGTGCCCTCCTTCTCTTCCAGTGGGACCTAGTATGTGACAACCAGGGCCTGAAGCCCATGGGCCAGTCCATCTACATGGCTGGGGTCCTGCTGGGGTCCGTCTCTTGGGGCTTCCTCTCTGACTGGTGAGTACCTTCACTCCCCGCCGGCTTCTCCTTGACAGAATGAGCACCACGGGACAGAAGTACAGAAATGGACCATGAGCATCCACATTCCTTAAGAGACGGGGCTCTCTGGGTCTAGACGAGAGTCCCAGGTCCCCAGGGAGCAGCGACGGCCAAGAATCCCAGGCCAGATTAAGCTACATTGTGCGCAATCCCCTCAAACACCACGCTCTCTCCTTTGGAGACACCAGCCTTCCTGGGCACCTATTGTGTGCCAGGCGCTGGACAGCCCTGTCCTCAGGGAGCCCATAGTCCCCTCTTCCTCCTCCTCCTTCTTCTTCTAAAAGATTTTATTTATTTATTTCAGAGAGAGAGAGAGAGAGAGCGTGCACATGTGAGTGAGCTTGAGTGGGGGGTGGGGGGTGAAGGGCAGAGAGAGAGGGAGAAGCAGGCTCCGGGGAGCCTATGCTGAGCAGGGAGCTGGATGCGGGACTCAGTCTCAGGACCCGGGATCATGACCTGAGCTGAAGGCAGACACTTGACCTACAGAGCCACCCAGGTGCCCCCACCCTTCTTGCTTCTAACTCCAAGTACTTGGCCTGCTGTGAACTAGAAATCCTCCTCCTCCTCCTCTGGCTCTTCCCCCTTGTGAGGTGGTGCCCCCAGGACCTAGCCCCGCCCCTTCTCTTGGCCACTGCCACCCCCCCCCGGATTTGAGGTTCCAAGTGGAGGAGCATTTGCCTCACATTTGCTGGGGCCAATGCTGGCCTCGTGACCCCCACCGCCAGCCCAACCCCTCGGCACCAGACTCCATCTGGGAAACCAGCCCCTCCCCACCACCCCCGCCCATGGCACACCCCTAACCATGGGAGCCAGCCCTGGTCTCCTGCCTTCCCCCGCAGATCCAGCCCCAGGCCCCTCTTCTCTATACTCTCCCCTTGCCCAAGCCACCTGCCTCTCTGGCTTGGGGCAGGCCCTGGCCCCCTTGAGGGTCTCTTTCCTCCATTCGGAGTGACTTTGCGAAATCCTCTATGTGGGTCTGGTTGATGCCAGCCTGAGGTTCTCCAGTTCCTGCCCCCCACCCCCTCCACCTCTGCTTGGCCGTGGCTTCTCCCCCACACCCATGCATGCCCTTACTGGGGCGCCCTCGGCATCCTGGCTGCAGAGCTCAGAGGGAGCCCATGGCCGGTGGCCAGTGGCTGAGCCTCGTTCTGAAGGTTGTCCCCCTGGTCTCTTTGTGCCCGGCATGCAGACCTCAACCCCAGGCAGCCTCTTCCCACCACAGGCGGGAGGCCCCACGGGGGCCTTGGGACCCCCGCCCTGGCCTACGGCACTGTGGGTCCCCTGGTCGTGCCTTCTGTCCTTGCTCGCTGCACCTACTCTAACAGTGCTCACTCATTCACTCACTTGCTGGTCAACCGGGGGCGTCCCCCAGGGACATAGCTCCCAGAAGGCAGGGGCACAGCATCCCCAGGTCCCCAGCGTCCAGCACGTGGCAGGCACCCAATCCTTATTCAGTGAATACACGAACAGCTTCCCGACTTTCGCCACACCCTGTGGGCTCCAGGTCTGGCCCCTGGGTTCCCTAGAAGGGAACCCCACCTTTCTTTCCCTGGTCCCCTAGAAGGCGGGTATGCTGCTTCCCATGTCTCCTCTTCTTCCTGTTCTGGGGACCTGGCTCTGTCCATGGGGCTGTTGTGGGTTAATCACTTGAAGGACATCAATCACAGACAAACCTTGGGCTGGGCGGGGCGTAGTGTGGGCTCCTCCTGTTGTGGCTTTGCTACCATCATCGTCGGTGGGCCTTATTTAATCCTGAGCATGGTGGGGGGCCCGAGCAGCAGGGAAGGACGTGGTCCAGGTGGCACTTTCAGAGGACAGCTGCCATGCGGCTCTGGCTCATTCCCCCGGGGCTGTCCATGCCGGGAGCCAAATCACCATCAGTCTGTAGCCTACCCAGGGAGCCTAGCGTCAGGGCCCGGTGTCAGCATCCAGCCCTCGCCCTGGGTCTGGGCCACATGTCCTTGTTCCTGGGCAGTGCTCAGACAGGCGGGCCAACCATCGCCCGAATCTCTCCCATTGGACCGACACACGCTTTGGCCAAATGCAGGCCGTGGTTTGGGCTAAGCCAGCCTTGGGGCTGGAGCAGCACGGTGGGTGTGCAGGTAGATGTCCGAGGGCCTGACACGGGTGGTCTCACGGGAGCTCTGGTCCCCGTGCTGGCCGGCTTGCCCAAGGTCACGTGCGCTCAACCCCCTGGGCGCGCCGCCTCCTTGCTCGTCATCACGGTTTTCACGGCTCTGTAAGGCCGTCATCACGCACACCCTCATTGCACAGACGGGGGAACTGTGGCTCGGAGACATTGAGTCCTGTGCCCAAGGTCACCCAGGCAGGACACAGCTGGGCTCAAACTCAGGCTTCTGATGCCAAAGCCATCTTTGTTCGGTTTTTATTTAAATTCCATTTGGTTAACATGCATTGTACTATGAGTCTCAGGTATACAAAATGGTGATTCAACCAAAGCCCGTTCTTTTTTTTTTTTTTTTAAGATTTTATTTATTTATTTGAGGGGCGCCTGAGTGGCTCAGTGGGTTAATTCTCTGCCTTTGGCTCAGGTCATGATCCCAGGGTCCTGGGATCGAGCCCCGTATCGGACTCTCTGCTCAGCAGGGAGCCTGCTTCCCCGCCCCCTGCCGGCCTCTCTGCCTACTTGCGATCTCCCTCTCTCTGTCAAATAAATAAAAAAATAAAATCTCTAAAAAAAAAAAAAAAAGATTTTATTTATTTATTTGAGAGAGAGAATGAGTGAGTGAGAGAGAGGGCACAAGCCAGGGAGAGAGGGAGAGGGAGAAGAAGACTCCCGCGGAGCAGGGAGCCTAATGCGGGGCTCGATCCCGGGACCCTGAGATCATGACCTGAGCTGAAGGCAGACACTTAACTGACGGAGCCACCAGGGCGCCCAGAGCCCATACTTCACCCTGAGGTGACGTTGGCCCTGAGATCCAAGCGTTTGCCATTTTTATAACAAGCAGACTCGGAGCCCGCTCCTGGGAGATCCGCGGTGGGGAGCAGGTGCTGTCTGCACCGAGGGGCCCCAACAGGTGTCCCCCCCTCTCAAACCCTCCTTTCCCTCGAAGCACCTGCCCCCAGGCCCAAGTCCCACCGCCCCTCTCCAGGCCCCCACGGTGCTTGTGTCCCAATCCAGGTTCGGGCGGAAGCCGGTGCTGAGCTGGTGCTGCCTGCAGGTGGCTTTGGCCAACACTGGCATCATCTTCGCTTCCAATTTCCTCATCTACTGTGGCCTCCGGTTCCTGAGCGCTTTTGGAGTGGCCGGCATCATCATGATCCCGGTGACGCTCAGTGAGTCCCTCCCTCAGCAATACGTGCCATGATGGGCGGGGGTGGGGTGGGGTGGAGACAGGGACCGAGGCCACCAAGTGGGCCTTACCTGCCTGTCTGCATCACGTTTCAGTGGTGGAGTGGACCACAACCCGCAGGAGGGCCATCACCGTAACAGTGCTGGGATGCTCCTATAGCCTGGGCCAGATGGCCCTGGGGGCCTTGGCCTTCACCCTGCGGGACTGGCGGGCTCTCCAGACAGCCGTATCGATGCCCTTCTTTGTCATCTTCCTGATCTCCTGGTTGGTACAGTGTGAGACTTTTGCCCTTGGGGAGGATGTCACTCACTAGGAGGGAGACTTGGAGGGCCAGGGTGCCCCTCAACCCCACCACCCTGACTGGGCATGGATCCCAAGGGGCTGAGAGCCACGGAGGGCAAGGATGTGTGAGGAGCCCCTGCTCAGGAGAAACATCTCGGGGTTCAGAGTTACGGGGTGGGCATTTTAGCCCAAGGTATGAGGCTCCCATCTGGCCAGCTGGCCCCCAGGTCTTCCCCTTCTCGGCCCCAGCTGCCCTCACCGGCCAGACACCTTCCTTCACATCACTGGCCCGACCTCCCGCAGATACCTGGGTCAGTGCGGACTGGCATTGGATATGAAAAGATACAATTATCATGGTTATTTGCCGTAACATGCCCTGAGATCTGGAAACACGTTCTTGGGTGAGGGAGAGGGAAACAGACACAAACTCATGACCCCAAACGTTCTGTCATGTCTGTGAACCGGGGCTGAATACACCTGCACCCCGTAAGTCTGCTGTGCAGTACAGAGAGTAGCAAGGACTCATTCATTCCTTCTCCAGTATTTACTGCCCTGTGCCAGACGCAGTTTTAGGTCATGGGGACACATCAGCAAAGAAAACAGATCAAAAGCCACTGACTACACAGAGTTTTGGCACAGCAACAGAATCAGTGAGCAAGGAGGAGGACATCCCATAATCACACTTAATCGGCCCCTCTGGTCACCTGTGTTGGGTGTGTCCTAGATGCTGTTGGTCATACCAGATGTGTATTCACTTCTTCTAACGAGGAAGGTGATACAATGACCGGCATTTTCAGGTGAGGGACTGAGGCCCAGAGAGGTTCAGTGACTTGCCCCAGGCTACACAGCTGGTAAGCACCAGAGGCAGGATTTGAACCCAGGCAGGCTGGCTCTTTGAACCACTGTGCTTCCCTGCAAACAGGGCTGAGCCCCTCTAGGCTGGGTATACGCCAGACCTTTTCACCCAGGAGATGACTCTCCCTGCCATTTCCCGGAGGCTGGGAAGAAGCAGGCTACTTTTATAGAACCACTCAGTTCTGGCTGGGGATGTAGTACACTGTGCACTGTCACAGAAACGGGCTCCACATCACCATAGTCCCGGGCAGCCCAGGCACTGGCCACGTGTGAGTCCCTAGCTGCTGGGAAGCCAGACGGGGTGGCACAGGGGAAAGAGGGCGGCCGGGCATAGGGACCCAGCTTTTCTCTGGAGCCGTGGGGGCCTGCCAGTCTCCCGCCCTGGCACCAGCAGTGCCGAGGGGAGAGCAGCTGGCTGCCGTCTCTCTCCCGCTGCTGCTGGGGGAGCAGCTGCCCACATCCCCCTCCCAACCTGGCGAGGAGGGCCCAGGATCCTGGAAGAGTGCAGGGGCCAGGTAAGCATCTGGGTCTTTTCCAGGTGGCTGCCGGAGTCTGCCCGCTGGCTGATTATCACGGGCAAACCAGAACAAGCACTCCAGGAGCTCAGAAAAGTGGCCAGGATAAACGGCCACAAGGAAGCCACCACGTCACTGACCGTCGAGGTGAGAGCCCCTATTTGTGACGTGTGGGACATGGCAGGGAGACAACAGCCACAGATGTCTTATCGTCAACTTCAATACTGCCCACTCCGGCGACAGAAGTGACACCCCACCCCCAGCTGGCTTGTCAGGGGCTTTCAACCACGTGCATTGCATGGTGACCTCACGGGGCTTCTCGGTGTTTTGGGGGGAAACTGGATGTGCTGCTTAGGTGGTGATTCTTTCAAGAAAGCAGGTGTGGGAGGATGTGCAGTAGAAACAAGAAAACTCAGCCTGGGGTTGGGAGGATCAGGGAAGGCTTCCAGGAGGAGGTGAGCTGACCAAGAATGAGCTGAACACAGGGCCATGGGGCCCAGAGGTGCAGGAAGAATCTGAATGGGCACTTGTGTACAGTGAGGAGCCCGTGTGGCTGGGGTACGAGGCAGACCCTGGTGCCAGCCATGAGGGGTAAGGCGGGTGGTCGGGTTTGCCTAGGAACTGCCGAGAGTAGCACGTAGCCCGCAGCTAAGAGAGTCAGAGCTGGGACACAAGACTGACTCCCTGGCTCGGAGGTGGGGGACCCTGTCTGCAGAAGGGAGCTCTGCCCAGGGTGGGAGGCCAACTGCAGTGGGGGGCCAGAGAGAGATCTTTCTTTCTTTCTTTCTTTTTTTTTTTTAATTTACTTGACAGGCAGAGATCACAAGTAGGCTGAGAGGCCAGCAGAGAGAGAGAGAGAGAGAGCAGGAAGCAGGCTCCCTGCTGAGCAGAGAGCCTGATATGGGGCTAGATCCCAGGACCCTGGGATCATGACCTGAGCCAAAGGCAGAAGATCTCCCACAGAGAGAGATCTTTCTGTTTCCGTGTCCCTGCTCCCACCCCCAGGCTTTCCAGTTTCCAGGCTGGGCTCCTCCCATCACTCTGCCCACCTGGACACCACCATTCCCTGGCGTGGGGGCGGGGTGGGGCCAACGACCCCCGCCCCCCCCACTGTGTCCTGTTCTCACCGCAGGTGCTCACGGCCAGCATGGAGGAGGAGGTGGCCTCTGTGAAGGCCCGCAGGTCGGTGCTGGACCTGTTTCTCATGCCCACGCTCCGCTGGAGAAGCTGTAGTATGTTCCTGGTGAGGTACGCACCCTGGTCATCCTTCCCAGGGCCGGGGCTGAGCGGGGAGGCTGGTGGCATCCGTGGGGCCGCCTGATGGTTAGTGGAGGCCGGCGGCCAGGGCCACGTAAGTGGTCACCTAAGGCAGAATGAAAGACATGGAAGTTTTTGAATTCGCTGCAAGGGAGCGGCAGGCAGGACAGCAGAGGAGACACTGTCTGCCAGGAGGCAGTAGGGGCAGGGACTGTAGTTATGGGGGAGGGGAAGAGGTAGGGGACGAGTGGAATGTTCCTTTCTTGCTAACGGTGCCCAGTTGTGAGCGGCCAACGGGTCAGCGAGTGGCTGTTTTGAGGTGGGTCCCGATGGGTCTGTTTGCTTTCATCCGGGTGGTCTTGCTGTTGGCCCTTCTACTTTCCTGGGGCTTCCATTGCTCAAGTTCGTCGCTTAAAAACAGCCTCGGTCATTTCCAGGGTTGGGATGGGGGACAGCTCCTGCAGGGCCTCCGGAAACACCTTTCTGTTCCGGAGAGGAAGCTCCCCCGGGGGGCAGGAGTCCCAGCCAGCACTGGGGAGGGGCGATGGGGCTCCTTTGGGAAGCCAGTTGAAGGGCAGGGACAGGGGCACGGTGAAGCCCAGGCTGGAGGTGAGCCTATGTCCCTAGAGCTTGGGGAACCCAAGTTCCTCTACACCCCCTGCCCCTGGGACAGCAGGGCCCAGCCGGTCAGGTAACTTGCCCAAAATGACAGAACAGGGATTTGAACCTCGGCTGAGCCCCCTCCTTGCCCGCTGCAGCCCCCCAGATCCCACATTGAGCACGGACTCCCCAGCAGGCCCCTTCTTGGCACCCCCACAGGCACCTGGGAGCAGGAGAAGGCCCCTAATAAAACAAATTCAGTTCAAGTGACTTGCAGGGAACATACGACAAGCGAGGGTCAGGTTTGATGAAGACGGGATCTTGAAACTAAAGATTAGGAAAACGTTTTATTTTCTGCTAGATTTAACCCCATATGGATTCCAATGGCAAATATTTGCTACACCTTAGAGAACGGATCAAATGCTTTTTTTTTTTTTTTTTTTTTTTTTTGCCCTGGCTTACGTTTTTTCTGACAAATGGAAAGGAGTGCTTGGTGCCGGGAATGTGGAGGGGGCCATTCTTTCAAAACCTTCAAGGCTTCCTCAGCGCTCCCAGGAGCCCCTCTGCATCCTTTGTTATTCAGATCACAGGCTGGGAAGCTGCTAACCTGGTGGGTTTCTCGGCTTCTACCATTAACCCCTTTGGTGGGTCAGCTGCTTTGAGCGGAGCTGAGCCCCTCCCCCACGGGGCTTCCACAAACTTCGAGAAAGGCCCGGGACTGCAGCTTTAGTCTACAGCAGGTATTTTGCTGTCTTGCTGAGTGCTACACTCCGGGGTGTGGCCCAAAGGGAGTGTCCGTGAAGCCGGGCTGGGGACTGATTTGAAAAGTGGTAGCAAATAATTTCACATCGTGGCCATCACTGGACCCAGATTTAATCTCCAAACTGCGGAAATCCCGCTACTCTAGGTTCAGCTTGCTACTGGGGAGCCTGGGGGTCTGTGGCAGGGCAGTCTGTCCCGTGTCCACTCTCTACCCCTCCACCCCGCTCACCCTCCTGCCAGCAGACTTGGGGTGCAGGTCAGTAAGCAGGAAGTTCATTGCAGAGGGCTCTTGGGATCCCTTCCTGTGGATGGGATGGGGAGGCTAGGGCAGGGCAGGGGAGCTGAGGGGAGGGAAGCAAGCGAACGGGGCAGGGGAGCTGTCCCAGGGGTAACGGGCACTGCAGCACCCCCCACATGCCCATGGAGGGCTCAAGGAGCTGGGGTGATCCTTTTGAGCCATCCCTCTGGCCTATGTCATGGGATGATCTCCCCAGCTAAGAGGTAGCATTCCCAGAGGCTGGGAAAGTATCTTTCTTTTGGGACAACACAGCCCACCTCATTCTACAATGAACCCATCTTTCAGGATAAAGAAACTGGTATCCAGGGAAGGGCAGAGAGACTCACCCAGGTTCATGGCCACTAGAGCTGGGCCAGGTCATGGTTCTGGCCGCGACTGGAAGCAAAGCCAGAGAATGCTAGGGCCAGACCTGAAGCTTGGCTTGACCCACAGAGCCTCATCAACCTGGAGAGTTATGTGTCCCCGCTGGCTGGTGGCCGACTGGTGGCCGGGAGCCTGAGAGGTGACTGCCTAAGGCAGAATGAATGAAGCCTACCCTTTCTCTCCTGGGTCAGTCCCACTCTTGAGAGACTGTCTGACATCCAACAGGCTTTTTGGGGTCCGGTAGTGACCTGCTCAGGACAGCCTGTGTCCCTGGGGACAGCCCAGGTGTGTGCCCTCTCGTCTGTGTGGCAGGGATCTGATTTCTGGCTTTGCCCTGCAGTTTCTCCCAAATGATCTCCTACTACGGGCTGGTCCTCGACCTGCAAAACCTGGGGAGTGACATCTTCCTCCTCCAGGTCCTCTTTGGAGCTGTGGACTTACTGGGCCGGGCCACCACCACTTTCCTGCTCAGCTTCCTGGGTCACCGCATGACTCTGGCTAGCTTCCAGGCCATGGCTGGCCTCTCCATCCTGGCCAACATCTTCGTCCCACAAGGTGAGGCAGGGTGGGCGGCCTGAGGGGACTGAGCGGCTGAGAGCCTGGTATACTGGCCTCCTGGGGTCCTTCCCCTCTCCTGCCGCCTAGACCAGCACCCCTACAGCCCTGTGTGCAAGGTGTGCCCAAGCCTACACCTGCCATATCACCTCAGGCTTCGAATCCCCTCATCGGTTCCCTACCACTCCCCTAAGGCGACCGAGGTTCAGAGAGGTGAAGCTGGGTGCCTCAGGTCTCTCAGATAGCCAGTGACCAGTCCAGGGCTGGGACCAGACTTCAAGCCCGAGGCTGGTCCCAAGGTGGGAGGAGGGGCTGGGGAAGCTGCTGGGCGCTCTAGGTTGCTTGAAGTGAGGCAGGAACACCAAGCCTGGAAAGCTGGGGTGTGCAGATTGCTGGTGAGGGCCCCTGGGCCCCTGTCTTACTCTTTTCTTTCTGAATGAAGCTCTAATGCCTCCAAAACCCTCTTAGTCTCTCCATTTATGACAAAGCAGGGCAGCGGGTGGAAGGGTGGGGATCCCAAGTTCTGGACCGAGAGCGAAACCGGGAGGGAGGCAGAGGGACGACCTCCCAAACAAGGCAGTGCTCGGGGAAAATTTGCCGTGACGGGTGTGTGACAGTTCATGAGACTCATCATTACAATGTGTGGGAGGGAAAGCTAAGGCGGGGCTTGGCTTTCTAGCTGGGGGTCCCCGCGAAAGCCAGCGGGACCAGCGTTCCCACGAGCAGACCAAGGGCAGTGCGGAGGACATGTCATGACCCTCTCCTTCATGGAAGAACCACACCTATGTCCCAAAGAGACTTGCCCCGGGGACACTGGAGGGAGAAGTTCCGAGAGCCAACCTTGCCTGCCCCAGGCTCGCCCACCCCAGACTGGGCTGGGTTCTGGCCCTGCCCCCCCACCTCCAGCCCCCCCACCTCCAGCCCCCCAACCGTGATGTCATTCTGCACCCGCATCCCTGTCCACCCTGGGCAGCCTGGCACCAAGTCAGCACCGTGGGGCACCTGGGCACAGTCAAGGGCAGGGGCGCTCCGGGCTAACTGGGGACCCCGCGGTCAGACCCCACCATCGCCATCTTCCTCTGCCCAGATTTGCAGACCGTGCGTGTGGTCTTCGCCGTGCTGGGAAAGGGATGCTTTGGCATAAGCTTAACCTCCATCAGTGTCTACAAGTCCGAGCTCTACCCAACTACACTGCGGTAGGCTGAGCGGCACACTGCACCTGGGAGGGGCGGCCAGACCCCGGGGTGCACGAGAAAAGGGCATCCCTGGAAAGGCCAGCAGGGGAAGGGCAGAGAGGGGCTGGGCATCCAGGAGCAGCACAGCAGACCAGGGAGAATGGGGTGGGTCCTTGAGAGTCCGTGAAGGACTCTGGATTAGATGTTCTCGGAAGCAGAGGGTGGGAAAATCTAGGAGGGCTCCGTGGAGGAGGTAGTGTCAGGAGACTCTGAGGAGTATAGCTCCTTCAACCCAGCTTTCCCTCCCCTGGCACATCCTGGCATAGCCAAATGCCTCCCCCTCCTCTCCACCCACCCAGTAAAGCCTCCTTTTAAGTGGCAGCAGTGACGAAGGTCTGGGCCCTCCCCTCCACCCACAGGATGACAGCAGACGGCTTCCTGCAGTCGGTAGGTCGTCTAGGGGCTGTGATGGGCCCCCTAGTCAGGATGACTCGCCAGGCCGTGCCCCTGCTGGCCCCCGTCTCCTACGGTGTCATCCCCATCATGTCCAGCCTCATCCTCCTGTTTTTCCTCCCAGAGACCGGGGGACTCCCACTTCCTGACACCATCCAGGACCTGGAGAACCAGTGAGTGATTGGCCACGCTGGGAGTAGGGCTGGGCTTCCAGGAGGTAGCTGGGCAGGGCTGCAGATGTGGGGGATGGGATGGGAGAGCCCAAGGATCCAGGAGACGTGCTAGACAAAGAGGCTGGAGCTGGGCTGGGCTTGTCATCGAGATCACACCAGCAGCCTGAGTTTGCCAAGAGCCGACAGCATCCCCGGTGCCTCGGGGCAGCGACCCAATGGGCATCAAGGTTTGCGTCTGAAACCACGTAATCACTGCTACAACACAGCCAGGAAGAGACTATTTCCAACCCTGTTTACCAGAGGCTCAGAGAGATGAAGGGACAATTCAAGGTCTCACAGGTAGAAAGCGCTCGTCCCTGAGGCAGGGAAATGCAAAGGCTACGAACCAGGCTCTGCAGCCAGACTGTCTGGGACTGAATCCCTCCCACCCGGCCATGCACTGACCTCCCTTACCTCACTCACCCACGAGGCTGGAGCCAGCCCTGACCGCCCTAGTTCTGTCTTCCTCAAGGAATCCCAGGACCAGACGGATCAAGAGCTCAGTTTCTGGAACACACTCTGCTACCCTCACGCCATCCTTTGAGAGAACAGAAACAAGGGAACATTCCTCAAGTTTATTTTGTGGCCTGAATCACCACGATGCTTCTGCTTCCTCATTTGTAAAATGGGTTTAAAACAAAACGGAACAAAATGTCTACCCAAGCTCAAAGACCACTTTTTGAGTTAAAGTTATTATATTAAAGCACCGAGAACAGTGCCAGGCCCACAGCGCAGGCCCCAGGCTGTTGTGTCCTGGGTGAAGGTGATCCTGGGGCAGCAACAGGCTGCTGAGCAGGAACCAAGGTCATGCTAATGGCTGGGGGTTGAGCATCCCACTCCTGACTTGGCCACCAGTCATGATCTCAGGGTCCTGGTGAGCCCCGCATCGGGCCCTCCACACCCGAGGGGGTGTTTGCTCGTCCCTCTCCCCTCTACTCCTCCTCGTTCTCTCTTCCTCTCTCAAATAAATAAATAAAACCTTTTTAAAAATAGTACTACCAACAGCTGGTACTCAGGGGGGCCCTTCCTGCGTCAGGAGAGCATCTCATTTAATCCCAACAACCCCACAAAGTGCTGTTGGGGTCAGTTTCATGGCCAAGGAAATGAAGACACAGAGAGGTCACGTAACTTGCCCAAGGATGCTTAGCTCAGAAGCAGGGAAGATGGGACTTAACCTACTCTTTCACTTTTTTGAGCACCTACTGTGTTTCCAGGCACTATCTTAAGCTTTGGGGACACGGCAGAAAATCCATCCCTAATCCCATGGAGTTTACATGCTCATAGACTCCATCCGCCAGTTCCTCCCTCCGAGCCCTCCAGCCATCTCACCACACAACACCGCTCTCTGTCTTTTGATTATTCTAGGAGATCGGCAGCAACCAAGGGCAAGAGGCAAGAGGTGGTCGTTACAGAGAGTACCTGGTTCTAGAAATTCTGCCTGCACGGAGCCCCTTTGGCTGAAAATCCCCACGAAGGGAATTACCTCTTCTCCAGTGGAGGAAGGAGGCAATTTGGAGAAACCCGAGGGCCTGGCGTGGCCGGGGTCGGGCGGCCGGGCTGAGAGGCAGCATTGAGGCTGAGGGCTGCTTTCCCACTCACTTCTGTCCCCCACCTCCCCACCCAACCTCAGCTCTGCAGAGTCCCGCCTGTTGATAAGATGGGTTCTGTCCCCTCCCTGCCAGGCTCCCATCTTCACACCTTCACTCAAAACTCCAGACTCGCTTCACTGAACTGGAAGGAAGCTGCAGATTTTTTACCTCTGAGCTCCCAGAGGGGATCCTAGGACACAAACGAAAAGATCTGGACAGACATGAGTCCCAGCCCCTCCCCCACCATTTGCAGAGTCCTCATCTGTAAAATGGAAATAATCACAGAACCTACCGGGCGGGAGTGTGTGTGTGTGTGTGTGTGTGTGTGTGTGTGTGACAGGATTGACAGATCTTAGCACAGACCACAGTCCAACATGTAGAAGCTGCTGCCTTTGCAGCCCGTGGGAACAGCGGGAAATACCGGGGGCCATGAGAGGCATTACAAAGCCTGCGGAGTGACCCCTGGTTTCTGAGGGAGGATGTGACTGGTGTATCTGAGGAATCCCACCCATTGACAGGGGACTGAGGCCCCCTCCTCAGGAATAACAGGAATGGCCTCTGGTTGCCTGATGAGAAGTGCTGTTTGCTACGGGACCGTATCTACAGGAGCAGGTGGGGCAGGACTGGGGTTCAGCCGTTTGAGACCCTCCTGGTTTCCCTTACATGTCAAGGGAACACATCACACTGGGCCTTCATTTGAGGTCTTACCTCACAGGGGCACCCTTGGTGTCTAACTCAAGGGGTCACCTTTGCCTAATTCACATAAAAACCCTCCTCCCTGTGCTGGTAGCAGCCCTTGTTGATAGAACTGGGGGATCATGGAGGCTGACCACCTACTTTAGAGGTAAGAAAAGTAAAGCTCAAAGAGGTGGAGGGATACGCTTGGAGTCACATGGCTGAGCCCTGGCCAGGCGGCCGGGCTCCCAGTCCAGAGCTCCTTCCCACACACCAGGCTCCTCACCTTCACCTCCAGCCCGGCCCCCCCAGGCCTGACACCCACATCTGTGTCACAGAGTTACTCCCACAACTTTCCCTGAAGAGCCAGACCCTCTAGACACCTGCCCACTCTCCTTGGATGACTCAGAAGCCTCAAGCCGTAGGCTTCCCATCCCACGCACCCCCATTTCCCTCCATCAAATCCAATGCATGGCAGGCCAATCAAACACAATTCAAATAAAATCCCCTATCTGCTTAACACCTCTGGGGGCTCATGATAAAGACCACACCTTCCCCCACCAACAGGCTTCCGTGGGTCTCTAGCCTTACTTCACTTGTAATAAAGGTTTTTAAAAATTCAAGTCATATAAAGTATGTTCTTGGATCGTCGTGGAGAGAAATTGGAAATCAGTAGCAGAGAGGTATTGGGGAAACTCCTTCATACTAAACAACACAGTTCTAAATAACCCCGGGGCCAAAAGAAGCCATCACAAAGGTAATTAGAAAATATTTTGAATTGAATGAAAATTTTTTTAAAATGACATATCAGAGTTTGTGGGATGAAACTAGAGAAGTGATTCAAGGGAAATTTATTTCATTAAGTGATTACATTAGAAGGGAAGAAAGTCTCAAATCCAATATCTCAGCTTTCACCTTTAGAAATTAGAAAAAGAAGAAGTAATTTAAACTGAAGTAAGTAGAAGAAAGGAAATAATAAACAGAAGTCAGAAAAATAGAAAATGATCAAGAACATCAATGAAACCTGAGGCTGGTTTTTTGAGAAGTCAATTAAAATTTATAAATCTCTAGATGTATTGCTCAGGGGAAAAAAAACACAAAGGCACACATTATCAATATCAGGAGTAAAGAAGAAGCATCACTACCAATCCTACAGATATTAAAATGATAAGGAAATATTATGAGCAACATTTTACCAACGAATTTGACAACTTAGATGAAATTAACAAGTTTCCTGAAGGATATGAACTAGCAAAGCTTCCTTAAGGAAAAATAGATAACATTATTGGCCCCATTTCTGTGAAAGAAATTGAAGTTGTGGTTTAAAACCTTCCCATAGAGGAAATTCCAGGCCCACATGACTTCACTGGTGAATCCTGCCAAACAACTAAGCAAAAAGATAGTAACGATTACCCTCAAAGTCTTCCAGAAGATTGAAAAAGAGAGAACACCTTCTGGCTCATTTTTTTGAGGCCAGCATCACCCTAATTCCAAAGTCAGAAAAAGATATAACAAGAAATGATAAACCGGTATCTTTTAAAACATGGACACAGAAATTCTTAACAAACATTTAGAAAATTAAATGCAACATTATGCTAAGAAGGGCAATGCATCATGACCAAGTGGAGTTTAACCCAGGAATGCAAAGTTGCTTTAACATTCAAAAATCAAGGGGCACCTTGGTGGCTCAGGTGGTTTAAGCCTCTGCCTTCTGCTCAGATCCTGATCTCAGGGTCCTGGAATCAAGCCCTGCGTTGGGCTCTCTGCTCGGCAGGGAGCCTGCTTCCCCCCTCTCTCTGTGCCTGCCTCTCTGCCTACTTGTGATCTCTCTCTGTCAAATAAATAAATAAAAATCTTTAAAAAAAACATTCAAAAATCAAGATTAACAAACTAAATTATTAAAAAACTATAGAGGAAAAACCATGGGATCATCTCATTAGATACAGAAAGTGCATTTAACAAAATTCAACATCCGTTTCTGATAAACAACATTCAGCAAACTAGGAAAGTTGGTGAATTTCCTCAACCTGACAAAGGATGTCTATGAAAAAAAGCTACAGGTAACATCATACTTAATGGTGAAAGACTAAATGCTTTCCTGTCAAAATCAGGACTGAAGCGAGGATGTCCACTCTCACCACTTCTATTCAATATTGGTTCTAATCAGTGCAATAAGGAAAGAAAAAATAAATAAAAGGCATCTAGACAAGAAAGAAAGACATAAAACTATCTATGATCTGCAATTGAGAAAATTGTAGAAAATCCTAAGAAATCTACAAAAATGTTAGGGTGGCTGGGTGGCTCAGTCATTAAGGGTCTGCCTTTGGCTCAGGGTATGATCCCAGGGGTCCTGGGATGGAGAGCTGCACCGGGCTCCTTGCTCAGTGGAAAGCCTGTTTCTCCTTCTCCCTCCGCCTGCTGCTTCCCCTGCTTGTGTTCTCTTCCTGCCTCTCTCTCTCTGTCAAATAAGTAAATAATTTTTTTTAAATGCCACCACATATCCACTAAAAGAGCAAAAGTTTAAGAGACCAAACGTTGGCAAGATTGTGGGGCAACTGTGGGAATGTAAAATGGTACAACTACTTTGGAAAACAGTGTGGCAGTTTCTTGGAAAGTTACCCACATGCCAACCCTATCACCCAGCTGCTCCACTTCTAAATATTTACCAGAAGAAATGGAAAACCGTGTCCATGAGGACTTGCACGTGGATGGCCCCAGCAGCTCTATTTGCAGCTTCCAAAAGCTGGAAGCTACCCTCATGTCAATCACCAGATGAGCGGATAAACAGATCTTAGTGTATCTATGCGATGGATTATAATTCATATAAAATATATGCATAGAAAATGCTAGAAATGCAAACCAGTTTGTGGCACAGAAAGCAGATCTGTGGTTGCTCAAGACAAGAGGAGGGGAGGAAAGGAGGATTTCAAAGTGGTGACAGAGGCTCTTTGGGGTGATGGATACGTTCATTTTCTCGATTATGAAGATGGTTTCACTGGTGTGTACAAACGTCAAAAACCGTTAAGTTATATACTTAAATAGGGAAACTAATCAGGGACTCCTGGGTGGCTCTGTTGGTTAAGCCTCTGCCTTCGGCTTGGGTCGTGATCTCAGGGTCCTGGGAAGGAGCCCCACATTGGGCTCTCTGCTCAGCAGGGAGCCTGCTTCCCCGCTCACCCTCTGCCTGCTTGTGATCTCCTCTCTCTGTGTCAAATAAATGAATAAAATCTTTAAAAAATGATTATCAAATGCCTGTGTATGAGAAATGGGGCTTTACTTGTCCTCAGAAGCCCCCGCATGGCCCCCACTGACGTAACTGTCTCCCGGCCACGTGCCTGCCCCTGACCCAGCCCTCAGAACTTTGCTGTAGCAATGCCGGCATGGAATTCTACAGCCTTCCACTGGTCACGACTTTCAACCAATATTACGCGACACATCCCTCCCATTGATGGCTGTGGCACTTGGCTCCCTGACACATTTATCAAGCTTGAAAGCCAGCCTGGAGCGGAGCATCTATGGGAAGACAGCTCTCCAGTCCAGGCCCTGAGGCCACGCACGCTGGGCCGTGAGTGTAGGGGCCAGGCTGGCGCGGTGGTCACACAAGGCACAGGGTGGGTGGCCGTGGTGGGAAGTGTCGACTGGATTCTGGGTGAGAAGGGAGCCTGTAAGGTCTTCAGTGAGGGCTGACTTGCTAAGACCAAGATTCTGAAAGGAGGTCCTGGACAGGGGTAGGTAGGTTAGGGGGGTGGGGGTGTCTGGAGAACCCGGGATTGGCTGCAGGGTCGGGAGCGGGGAACCCCATCAGGCAGCTCCTATGTCTAGGCAAGAAATGACCTGCTTCACCCAGTGGGAGTGGTCAGAGGGCGTGATTTGGATGGAGTCCCTTGGATTTGCTGAAAATCAGGAGCGGAACTTGAAAGATAGGAAGCCTGAGGTTTTCTGAATGGCCACCTGGTGGGGATTTACCAGATGGGTGACGTCTTTTCCCCAAACTGGAGAGTGAGGCTCGCAAACTCAAACATCGGGAGAGCCGAGGGGGCAGGGGGGAGTGCAGGACAAGGCTCAGCATCAGGGGCCCAGGGCCCCTCTGGCCCAGACAGCGTCGCCCTGAAGCTTGAGCCCAGGGTTGCCAAACCTCCCGAGGGTTTTTAAGTCAGAGGCCACAATTTTTTTTTAAGATTTTATTTATTTATTTGACAGAGAGAGAGAGCAATCACAAGAGATCACAGAGAGATCTGCTCTGTAGGCAGAGCAGCAGGCAGAGGAGGGGGGCGGGAAACAGGCTCCCCACTGAGCAGAGAGCCCAATGTGGGGCTCGATCCCAGGACCCTGAGATCAGGACCAGAGCCGAAGGCAGAGGCTTAACCCACTGAGCCACCCAGGAGGCCACAATTTTTATGTGAAATCTCCAGAATATTCTGTTGGCTCACTTGTTTAAAACACAGCGTTTGGGCCACACCCCGTGTGTCTGGAGCAGCCAAGCCTCTCTTGTGTTCCAGCTGCACCAGGAGCCCCACGAGGCCTCTCTGGCTGGAGCGGGCACCCGGGCTCCCCCCGCTCACTTTCCTAGGCCTCCCCAGCCAGACTTCCCGACTGGGGTCATCTGTGTCATAGCAACCCTTCTCACAGCAGCTGTGACC